AAATGCTTTTGTTGAAAATTAAAAACTTGAATAAAATATTAGATTAAAAAAAATTATATTTAAAGTTCAAATATAATAGTAAATTTATATAAATTAAATTATCACCTTTGAATATAAAAATTAATCTATCAATTCAATTGTAGAACTTTCATATTATGTTAGGTTTAAATTTTATTTTAATAAGTTATTAAAATATATTTTTTTATTTATTGAATTATAAAAATTCATTGGTATCAGTAATTCACAAGCAGGGTACTATGAAGTAGGAACCACATTCTATAAAGTTTCTTCGTCTTGTTACCTGAAAAAGAAATAATCTGAAATACTATATGTATACATAAATACACACAAATCTTAAAAATTAATATTAACAATTTATAATTACTTTGTAGTATATTATTAACATGTAGTATATTATTAACATTTATTATATTTACAAAGTCAGGAAACTAGAAAGCCAATCATATATTTTCAATCATTTCATTACTATAATGGCATAGTTCTAAAGAAACATTTCCGCTTTCTACAAGTAAACATTCCCGTATTCCCGTATCTTCTTGTTCTTTTTCATTATTGGTTTCTTGATTATTTTTACATTGAGAATTATTATTTATTCTCCATTTCTTATATTCTAAAAAGTTTTCTTCAGTTGCTTCGTTTATTTTTCTTTTAAGAGGAAAGTTTAATTTTAACCCAGGAATATTTTTAATTCCTTTTATCAGAATTCCAATTTCATTAGAGTTTTCTATAACACTTTTTAAATATTTAACACTGTTTTCTAAACTGTGATTAACTTCATGTAGAGAAGAAATTTCTGCTTTTAATTTGTCATTTTCATAAACCAAGTCATTACACGACTTCTCGAGATCTTCTGTATACTTCTCTCTTTCTCTAGATGCAACATTCTCGGATATGGAATGCTTATTTCCATTTACTCTATCATCATCATCGTTGGAATTGCTACATTTTTGGTCATTTACCACTCTAAAGAACTCCATGTTTTTCTTCATTCTTACACCATTCACTACATCGTCTTTTAAATAAGTTCCATTACTTGATAATGTAAATCTGTTTGATGCTGGAACTAATGTAAATGTTCTTGTATCAGTAGACTTTTCATCTTTAATCATCTTACTTTCATTAACTCCTTTAATTGTAATAGGTTTTATGTTAACATCCTCTAGAGAATTTGATGAAGATGTAGTAGTTTGATCCATAACATCATTGAATTCTGAAGAACAATTAATACAATGCAGACCATTTAAATCCACTTCTTCAATACATAACATATTCATTTGAATTTGTTTGATTCGGTTATCCAAACACCAAAAGGAATTCGAGATATCATCAAAAAACGACCCAAACCTATTTGAATTAAAGTGTAAACGTATTTTATCGTCAAATTTAGACAGAGCTTCACTTTGTAACTCCTCGTCACTCGAAACACATGTGACCTCTGTATTCATTATCAACGAAAGATAGTTTTATATCCCTTCGCGAATATAAAGCGTTCGCTTAATATTAAGTTTTAATAATGTAATATAACTTACCGAGTATTTTAAATTCAATTAATGACATACTGAACTCAAAGTAGACTCGCGTAAAAAATCTTTTAAAATATTACATAAACGAACTAAAACGCAATAGGTATGTGTCGATTCCGCGCGACACGTCCGAACATGTAAGCTGAACAATAGTGTGGGGGGAGTGAGTAATGAAGAGTTGCGTGGCGCTCAAACAAAAGACGAATCGACGAGATTTGAAAATCGCGTAACTCCGGGTAGCGTATAAGTCGAGGTATTACTGTATTAAAAATGAAAATTAGCAGTAAAATAATGAGTATGAAAACCTCGTCACGAGAAAAAACTTTTCTTCATAGTGTTCCTATAAAAGCATATATTTGAAAAAATTAACGTCATCCAAATGTTAAAAAAAAAACTTCAAAATTTGTATGAGTTTTTTGAACGTGACTACTTTAAAGATGACGTAATCGAATACACTATTTCATCCGATTGCGTCACTAGACTCTTGCCGCGGATTAACACTAATAGTATGTTTTATTCTTATATCTAAAATATATGAAACATTTATTAAATTTTCAATTACATGATTTTATTTTCGTTTGTTTAGTTTTTCAAATTTAATATTAAATTACTTTTTAAAAACTATTCTCTCACTATAAATATGTATTTCTAAGTCCCATCAGAATTAACTTAAACTATATAGAAAAAATATTTTTATTCAATATATAATTAATTTTACAAAACATAAGTTACAGATTTTAATTGCATATATTCTTATACAGAATTCATTCACAATCAACATTTTAGAGAGCTGCTGAAGCTGACTGTGAGAAATATATTTGCATACATCACTTGATATAAAAATATAGAATATTGCAGCTGATATAAATAACAGTTTTTTCTTCAAGGATCAATTAATATATATATATACATATACATACATACATACATACACAAACAAACAAACAAACAAACCAAAGAAAAATTAAGGCATGATAGTCATCATTAAATATATAGTATGCACACTACTACAAACTTATCATAAAAATATCAATTATTACTAAGAATAAATTATTTTTTGTCANTTTATATATTGGATTTTTGATTTCATCTAACAACATAAAATATTTAAAAGAAATCTCTATTAATAACACGATACCGTATTTTCCAATTTCACTAAAACTGTTACCTCAGAAAATGCATGTTTACACTGAATGACAGTACATGTAGCAAATAGCATTATTTGTATCAAAATACGAATTTATAAAAGCAATAAGAATTATAAAATATGCACTAAATTTCGGTTGAAGTTTTCTTATTTAATACATTCAAGCAATCTCGTATGGTTGTTTTTCCTGATAAAAGAAAACATCAACCAGAAGAAGAATATAATTTTCTGTAATCTTCTAAGCAAATAATCATTTATTATATGTAATATTACAAATCTCACACAGCAGAAATCTTCACAATAATTAATAAATATTAATAATAATTTAATTAATATCAATAAGATGTTTTGAAAAATAAATGATTAGTGAATATTTATTGTAATAATATCGTGTGGTTCTTGTGATAAATATACTTTTTTAAATCTGAAAAAGCAATGTGTAATGTCCTAAAAACATTTGTTAAACCAAAGCTGCACTTATTTGGAGGTAATTGGAGGTTTCTCTTGGTGTTTTTCTTGTTAATTGCAGACGGAGTGGAAGGATTTGGAACATGAAAAAGGGCCAGAATCGCATACCATTTCAATAATTTTCTTCCATCCGCTCTTTTAGGTTAAAATTGCGACTCCTCAAAATGTAGCTAAAAGATTTAGTTACATTACATTACAAAAGTTATTTTAAACACTTCGTAAATTTATATTTTCAACATTATTTTATCCATTAACCTCACACAGCGTCGAATTCTCAGTTGGTTTCCATTTATCAACAAGAAATCTAATTGAGATCGAAAGAAACAATCAGCTTCGCTCTAGAAACACCGTACACATAACTTGAAAAGGATCCAAAATGGCGACTGCCGCGATCACGGTATCGTGTCTAGACCTTGTTTACAGACCTTGGGTATTTAGGATCAATAGTGAAAGAAAGAAAAAGATGGCAGTACCCGTACTATCGATAGTATCGCGATGGAGGAATCTATGAGTTTAAAATATTAGTTTTAGAAACAAAAGATTAAAAAAGCGTCCCAATTGTAAAATTTAACCGTAAAATGGATTGTTTTGCCAACAGAGCATTTAAAGTAGCCACGAAAAATTAAATACCTGCTGCTATTCGAAAAAACTTCGAGATGACACATCACCTCGTGCACTAAGATGCGCTTTCACAACTGCTAAATTTTCATTTGTAAAACCACGTAATGGACACTGAAACGAAACTATCTGAGCGATGAAGGACGCCATGTTGCTTTCCACCGTAAACTTTTATTACAAGCAGCCGTTTTTGTTGTCCAACGGCGCACACTCTGGCTGGAATATAGTAACNAAAGTTATTTTAAACACTTCGTAAATTTATATTTTCAACATTATTTTATCCATTAACCTCACACAGCGTCGAATTCTCAGTTGGTTTCCATTTATCAATAAGAAATCTAACTAATTTAGATCGAAAGAAACAATCAGCTTCGCTTTAGAAACACCGTACACAACTTGAAAATGATCCAAAATGGCGACTGCCGCTAGGCATCACGGTATCGTGTCTAGACTTTATGTTTATAGACCTTGCTTCTGTATTCTAGCCGCAGCGCTTCTAGTGAGCAAAAGTGACTCTAGACCGAAAACTCCGCTCTGCTCTCCAAATATATTATCTAGTAACTTTGTTCTAGAATAGTGTGTGGCGCGAGTGCGCCTCAGATGTGTCACAGAAATATTAAATATATATATTTTTTAATTTTGAATAAGCTCTTGTTTTTAAAAAAATTTCATTTATCTTTCATCTTTCTACCGCCGGCCGACAGAAGGGTGAAGAAAGCATCCACTAAAATGCCGATTGTTGCAAAATTTGTGACTACAGTAGGGTATGCTGATGCCGCAAAATACTCCTCCCTTCACACAAATTGCGTGCATCTATGCGTATGCCGGCGTATCAACTCTCTGGAGTTTCTATAAACGTTGCGGCTTATCAGTTTAGAGACAAGTTCGAGCTCTTTACGCATTGATTCAAATAATCTTATATTTACAGTATATTTGTCTTGGTAAGTTCAATCTCCGTATTATCAAATTTTTCTTGAATAAACGGTAAAAAATCTAGTGTGCCGTAGAAATTTTATTAAACTCAAAGTGTGTCGCTAATCCAAAAAAAAAAAAAAACATTGGAAAACACTACTCTAGACCAAACAAGAATATGCTTCCAACAATCTCGGTTGGCACGTGAGAAAATTTTGTATCCTAAATTCGCTGTCTAGAAACAAAAAATTCTCCGTGAACTTGCAATTGGGCTACTTCATCGCTAATTTTTGGCGACTGAGCTCCTTCAGCGCCACCTTTCGGTGACTTTTTGTCATTTCTCGTAGGGACGATAGAGTCACATGTGATTGCTTCGCGTATAAGACTAACGTAAACAAAATGTCGAAAACTGTGAGAGGGTTAAAATCTGCCAAAAAATTAGTTCAAAAAGTGATTCATACAACGCCAATGAAAACATATATTCCTGCAGGAATGGCTTCACCTAATCCTCCGCTAGGACCGAGTTTAGGACAGGTAGAAATTATAAATGATTATATTTAATTACCAATTGCTCATTTAAAACAATTTACTTGGAAATATTGTTTTAAAGTAAAGATCATTAATGAAACTGAAAAAATATAGTAGAAAATGTTATTGATTAGTCGATGAGATTAAGTTTTATAGTCTAATTCAGCTGTTGTCTAAACCAGGGATATGATTGTTGTGCCAAAGAAAAATAGTCTATTGGCTCATTATGCCAGCCTTTAGATTAAAATAATTGCACACTATATGGATTTAGAATACATTAATAAAACAGTTAGTAATTGATATTAAAAACATAATTATATATCAGGTTGTATATATTAGATTGTATCTAATAATCTGTAAGTGAAATCTATACATTTCAATGTTTTTCTAGAAACAACTGGAAAAAATGTTCTGGAACGCTCAATGTGGGTATATAAATAGAGTAACCTAAGGGCGTTTTTGTCACATATTTCGTTGGAAATAGATGCATTGACAATATGAAACTTTCAAAAGAACACATAAGCATGTTGTTGCTCTATTGCTTTGAAAGTGACCACAATGCAACAAAGACTTGTGATCTCTTCTGCAAAGCATTTGTTAAAATGTTTGTGGGTGAACAAAGATCAACCAGCTGTTGTAAATCTCAAAAGGCCAATAGTGCTAAAGGTGATGATATGCATTTATTTGATGTCGTCGTGATGGAACTGCTCCCAACCAACATCGCTGTCATGAAAGAACTGTACTGTTAACAGCTGGATTGTGTGAACCAGTTCATCTAAATTTTGACACAGTTCAATTCCACCATGATAACATACCAGCACAGAGAGCAAAAATAATCTTAGTGTAGCTTACCAGTCTGGACTGGGAGGTTCTACCTCATCCACCTTACAGCCTAGACTTGGTACCATCTGACTACCATATATTTCACATCCTGCAGAATAATATTGCAACATAAAGTTTAATGATAATACCTTATGCTTGAGACTTTCTTCAAAGAATAACTCCAGTTACTCTATGCTTACACACCTTACAGGATTGAAAGTTTGCAGCAAATGTAGCAAGATGTGATTGATTTTGATGGTCATTACCTGCAAAACTGAATTGTAATTGTTGAGTAAATTGTCAATAAAGTTTTATCAATATGTCTAAATTTCACCTTTACCTGATAAGAATGAAGACATTTTATAAATAATAACAACAAAACAAAAAAATTGTATCTAATAATCTGTAAGTGTATGGATCAGAAGTAGCATAAATTAAATAACTTAAATTTGTAATCCAAGTATTTTGTTGTTTTAAGTGTTCCAATTCCAATATTCAAACAGATGAAGACTTAAGACTGCAATTAATTCAAATGCTTTTAATTATTATTTTACTATTATTATTTACTCTTAAGGTAGCATTTCTGATATAAAATGTTTATGCATTTCAAAGTCACTACTATTTTATATCTTTTTAAAGAATATGAGTTGAATATAAAATAAAAATATTAATTACAAAAATCACTACAGCATGGATCTCAAACTCAAACATAGCAAAGGGTCAAATAGATGTAAATCAGATGCCTTATTTGTTATTATTTGGTAAACCAAAACATACTGTAAACTAAAAACAGTCTCTAACAAAGGCTTTTACGACCTATGTAAACAGTTAGAAGTTTGAATTCTTTGGTTTAATTCTCTCAAGATGTTAGAAACATTGCTTTTTAGAAAAGAAATCATTAAGGCTGCAGACCAGATGTGAAGCCTTAATGGGTCATATGAGGTCTACCAGTTTGTAACCCTTGCTTTACAGGATACTAATCACTTTACTTCTTAGTTTTTTTTTTTCAGTTATCTATATCAAGTGTGTATTTTGTAATTGAAGTGTCATACAAGTTTCTGAATGCACATTTCTTAAATGGTTTCAGTAAGGATTCAAAACTGTTTTTGCATTTGTTGTGAAAATAAATTCTCACATACATAGGTAGATGCAAAAGCTGAAAGTTATATAAATCAAATTTTTTTAGGCAGTGTTGTCCAGCAATGTAAGATAGTGCTGATTTATTATGGAAATAATCTGTTTTCCTCAGTTCTATCAATTTGGTTGCCCATAACTTGGATGCTTACTTTTTATATGTTGAATGTTGATCATTGGTATGTCTTCATCACTGCAGTTTTTTAATTAGAAATATAAATAAACACATTTTTGTCAACATCATCACAACTATTATGTATCAATTACTGTACTTCCTTTTGTGTTTCACACTTGTTGCCATGATGCCACAATGTCTAGATTTGTAGCTGCATGGGAATATTGTATCTGGACCACAAAATCTATAGTGGACTTACTGAAAACTGACTTGATATTGCTTTATTCTACTTGCTATGACAATGGTTGTCAAGGAAACTACAGAATATAGTGTCTTCTGACTATCACAAGATGATGAAACCATTTAGATAATTCACTGAACTTTATATACCTCTCCCAACCATCCAAACATGAAATATAGAATATATTTCTTTTAATGTTATTTGAGGTAAAAATTCATCTGAGGATTGAGTTTTTGATGCATGAAATCCCAAAAATATGCAAAACAAAAGACACTAAATGCAACAATGTTAATATTGTGATGTATGAAGACTTGAAGGAACCAGTGAATTATTTTAAATGTGAAAATATGGCAAATTGAGTTTCTACTGTATTTTATTTTTAACAGGTTTGTTTTCAAAAATAGAAAATATCCCTCATGCAAACTTCTTAAGACTTAAGTCTCTTCTGGCAAAGATTTGCAAAAATTTATGTTTTGAACTAGTTCAAATCTTGATGATGAAACGTTAGTAAAAACAAGTTATATGGCCAGATAAATATGCTTTCTGTTATTTTAAAATTTCAAATTTTTATTTTTCCAATATAATAAAATTTCCACCAATAGAAAATATGATTATTTTGATAAGGAATATAATTGAAACTAAGTTATCAAGTACAATATTTTTCCATAATAGATTTTACATATTTAAGATAAAATGTGTCAATATTTAAAAAATTATTGAATAATCTGTAATTTTTGAGTTAGATATCAGTTAAGTATAAAAATATATAAATATTACTTTCTTATTCTATTCTCAGAATTTATATGATTTTCAGGACTTATTGTAATTTTATTTTTCAGCGAGGTCTTAATATTGCACAGTTTTGTAAGGAATTTAATGAAAAAACTCAACATATTAAAGAAGGAATTCCACTTCCTTGTAAAATTTCTGTAAATGTAAGTTTAGTATTATTATAGCTAGTTTTAATTCATTTGGTTTTTTATATATAGTTTAAATTAATTTACTTATTATTTATAAATTATAAACTTCTACCACATATATGGTAGAAGTTTGTTAATTTGGCACTGGATTATAGATGTTTGTACTTTTGCAAAATTCAATGAACTATACATGATCTAAAAATTGCAGATTTTACTATACATTTAGTAACAGTGTATACTACCGTATACTTCCAATTTGTTTACATATGCTCTTTTATCAGGCTGAAAATAATGTAGTGCATGCTTACACTATGTTATGATTGATTAAAAAACCAGCAAAAACTTTAATGAACCCAGAGTCTTTAGTGCATTGCATGTCCAAACGAATTCTGATTTTTGGAATACTGATATGCTAAATTCTCATTGGATAATTCTGGATTATCAATTATTATTCAGAGTGTACTGGATTACTGGACATTCTGGATTATTAGGTGCCAAATGAATGGACTTCTATTGTGTAGAAAAAAATGAGAACAAATGTTTGTACTTACTGAGAACAGTTCTAACTATTTAATTTTTCTAGAAGTGAACAAAATTCCAAATGTAATCATCATAAAACACATTAATACTATTAGCTTTTAAAATACTCTCTCCAGTTCTATTTTACATTTATGAGTTTAATAGAATAAGGAAAACAAACAACTGATCATACTCATTTTCTATTCTAAATGTGCAATTTATATTTATATATAGTGACAAGAACTACTGACTTTTAAAATATTTGTATGATATCTGTTGATTATAATAAAAAATCAATTTAATCTTATGAAAATTCTTCCAAATTAAGCTGTTTTAAAAAGCATGAACATTTTTGAAATCTAAATGAAATTAATTATATTTTAATACCAAATAACCAAATACTTATAAGAATTTTCATTTTTTATAATTTGTAACTTTGTTTTTTAATCAAAACATCAGATGAAACAATAGTGTGCAATGAGACTTCAATTTATCAATTGAGCAACTGTACTCTTTCCAGCAAAAATTTTTAAATTGTTCAACAGCATATATATTCACTGCTGGACATTTGATTTTAGAATAGTTAGAAAACCTGACTCGGGCTCCTTAGAAGCCAAAAATGTTTGTCCTATTAAAAATTTCTTCTGGAAAGAGTAGGTTAAGTGTGGAGTTGCTTATTACTAAGTTTTCCAGCTTCTCAAAAGTATATCAGTTTATCAAGTGATCCTTATAATTTTGAATAGGAATTTTAATTTCATGTTATAACTGATTCATTTGCCAACATTATTTATGTTATTAAACATAGAATTTACATTTTAAGTAAAAACAATAGAAATACATGGCCGGCATTATTTACATTTAATAAATACATAAAAATATAAATACGACTTTTATAAAGGGTAAAACCTTGATTTTTATATTTTTATGTATTTATTAAATGTAAATAACACCTGCCATGTATTTCTATTGTTTTTACTTAAAATGTAATATTGTGACAGTGGCAAGTACACCAGAGGATGCTTTACCTGATTTTACATTTTTTTTGTTGAGGCAGTAGCCTCAAAAAGAAGGTCGTCTCTGTAACTTTATGAATTGTTTAAGGACTTCTGATGGTGTGAACAGCAAAAAGAAGGATAAAAGCAAGGTTTTGCCTTTGTAAAAGTCATATTTATATTTTTATGTATTTATTAAATAGAATTTACATGTATATATATTTTAATATATTCATCATTCAAAGTAATAGAACTAAAATGAAACAAAAAATTAGTTGTGTTGGAGGAAAATAAAATCAAACTAATTCTGTAAAATTATTGAAATTCACAAAGATTTTGACAAGTTAAATTTAAAATATTTGACTTTTCTTGAGAACAATATTTTTCATACTTATGAAAAAATTTAATCAGAAAAAATTTTTATAATAGTTAAAATCAGAAAATATTTGCTGATGTACTAATATATGTAATATAATAATTAATGATAATTCAATTGAAAGAGAAAGCTGCTTAAATATATAGAAAACAGCCTTGAAGCAACATAACATCCAAATAGTATTGGCCACTATATAATGCACAGTTGAGTTTCACAAGTTTTTGTATGGAATCATGTAAATAATGTAGTGTACCATGTCTTAGAAAATATATGGAAAAAATGTAATTTAAAATAATTTTGTTAAAATTGTTAAAATTCTAATTTACAGTAATATGAGAGGTTACTTCCTTTTTATTACTAAAATACAAATGGAAAATTAATTCAAATTAGTTTGTATAAGGCTAATATCGCCTTAATTTTTATGTTTAGAAAATGTATAAGAAACTGTTATAATTGTATTGTTATAACTAATAATTATTACATAAATATTGTATTACCACTCAAGTAGTGGGAAACAAATCCTTTATAAAAATTGACTGATTGATTGATAATGCACAATTGAGACAACTTTCAATTATTATTACTGATAAATATTAGTAATCTTCTTAATGCCATATCAGGGCATCCTGACGTCGGCAAGCATCTGGTACAGGTTAATTAATCACTAATTAGACCTGGTACAGGTTAATTAGTGATTAGTGATGTGCCAAGGTAAGTCTTGGGGAAGTTAGTACCAGACTGGTTCCCCGTTGCCTGCTCTGGATAATGGTGTTACGTGAGAGAAATAATGCCTTCCAGGAGGTCTTTTAAGGAAAGCTGGCCCCTATTCAGGCATTACAGATGTGGAGAAAACCCAGAAAACTCCATGTGGCCAGCCCATCTGAGCATGATGTGAACCCACAACCGAACTCCCAGTGTTTAGGGAATGGAACCGCTTGGCTACTGGTGGGCCAAATAATAGTAATAATTATATAAAATACTAATATTAGAAAATTTCTTGGCACAAAATTCAAATGGAAAAAACTAAAAGTTATCAAAAAAAGGTTTCATTGCTTTAAATATCACAGGACAACAATTTCAATCAAAATGAACATATGATAGCATCTAGACCATACAGTACTAGGAATGAATATCTTTACTTTTGTTTAGGATATAGGAATAAGTGTTATTAACTATTTCGTTTAATCCTTTGAAACAATTGTGAAATTAATTTATAATTATAACTAATGATGCATAATATTCACTTGAAACAATTACAGACCATTAATGTTTTAATCTTCAGAAAGTTCATCAAAATGCATTTTAACTGTTTTTGTTGTATTTTCTTTAAAAGCTAGATAAACTTGCCATTTCTTTGCTAACTTAGATGCTTTTGATGAATTTCAATAAACCAGTGACTAAGTGCGTAAAACCAAACACTGGTACTCATGGGTTTGTGCCTGCTCAATGGGCTAGTCATGTGAAGTTTTCCAGGTTTCCTTCATGTATCTAAACCTAAATAGGGGCCAGCTTCCAATAGAATGTCTTCTTAGGAGGGAGGCACTCCTGCTTGGCAGACTGGCCAAGTTTTGCATTCTGTACTTCCATCCATCCTTTGCCTAAAAATACATATTCACATTTGATGAGAAAATATAAGCATGGCCATAGGCATTAGTTGGTATAATTTCAAATTTTTTAATAAACATTATATTTTTAATTGTTCTTTTTTTAATTATTGTAAATATTGATAAAATAAAATTATTGATTATTGACGTATAAAATTGTGATTATCATCATCATCATAAAATTTTGTTCATGTGTACACGAACAAAATTTTATGACGATGTTCACATGTGAACTGTGTCACTTGAATCATCTTTGACATGTCTAGTTACACCATTGCTTTCAAAATTTGGATTTAGTATAAATTTATTATTATTCTTAAAAATGGTCATTTTGAAAATGTAATTAGGAAGAAAATTATCTTGTAATAAAAATTGTTTTAATGTATTTTTTAAATATATTTACATAATGATAACAATTTTTTTATGTACAGCCTGATAGAAGTTACAATTTAGAATATATTAATCCACCCATAAGCTACTTTTTAAAGCAAGCAGCTGGAATAGAAAGAGGTGCTATGCAACCTAGTAAGTATTATTAACAATAATAATAATATTATTATTTTTTAAGAATAGCAAGTACAGTGGGTGATTGGTTAACGAACAGATCGCATAACGAACAAATCGGATAACGAACACTTTCGCGAAAGATTTTTATGTTCGGACAACGAACACATGATCGGATAACGAACACCCCACAGAACAAACACAAGAAGAAGCGACGTAAATTAATGAATACCGATTGGTCTTCCCTTGTCTTCGGGCAACAATTCAAAACTTTTCGGAGTGTGGGAGACGTCGACATCGACACTCAAGCCGATTGGATAGTATTCCTCCGAACTTTGAAATCCTCCCTTGTAATTCCAGCCTTTTATTTTTCTGACAAAACAATTCTTTTATGTATTCGCGAGACTGTCGGGTAGGCACTCGTTAAGTTTTGCGTCTGTTTTTCTTTTCGAAAGGTGAGAGTATAATAGCAAAGGTAGAGAGTGGGCAGAAGATGCCTAATGTTGCTGGGCAGTATGGCGTAAACAGGTCTACAGTAGGCTGAAGTTCAATCTTATTTAAGAAACATACTGTATAATCAAGAAGACTCAAGCAGCTAAAGGAGTAACAAAAATCACATCTGAGAAATAAAGAATATCGAACAGTTCATAATGGAACACGAAATGGATCTGACGACAGAAGAACGCCAAGAACTCTTGAATGAAGAACACCAAGAAACTCGGCGAGATATGTTTTCTTCTGAAAAAGAGGATTAATGCCGATATCTTATATTAAAGATCCTTTGAAGAAGTGGGAGGATGTCAGAACAACGGTCTTAGAATGGCATCCAAACCAGGTTAAGGCTTGGGGATTTCTGCAATTGCAATGCTATTAATTACTTACGAAAAATCCTGAAGAAGAGAGAAAAGCAATCGACATTAGACAGATTCTTTAACCCTTTCAAACAGAAAAAAAACACGACTAATAAAAACGCAAGACTATGTATGTATGTATTTTTATTATCATCAATACATATAAATAAAGGTAGTAAGAAAGTATATATTTTTTATTTTGGGGGGGTCTCCAGAACTAATTAATCAAATTCCCATAGAAACCTATGGTAAATCGATAATCGGTTAACGAACAATTCAGATAGCGAACAAAGTCTTGGAACAGATTATGTTCGTTAACCAATCACCCACTGTAAATTGTTCTAAAGAATTGTAAATACCATACTTGATTCTAATGTGGCATTGAATCTAATATGCATTCAAGTTTTGAGACACCAAAATCAGGCAAAAGTTAGCTTGCAAATGAAATATGCACCCAATATTGAAGATGCAGCTCCAAAAAGTTAATGCATTTAAACAGTAATAAAGCATCTGTTGAAAAGTGTTTTCAGTTTATGTTTACAGTGCTTCATGATGTCCACATTTTCTAATGTATTCATTTATGACTTCATTATTAGATATAGGATCTGCAAACCAATACAAAATTAGTAAAAATTACTATACGATCAACATTTTAACAGTGAAATTTCATGTTAGTCTGCACAAGTATGAAATTTACCAGATAAATAGTATCACACTGAAATATCTATACACATTTCTTCAGCATGGTGGATAACTCTGCTTAAACACAATTTTTATAGATTTGTCTGCTGGATATTGTTCACTTGGCTTGCAGTTTAAAAGATCACCAAACAATTCCAAAACCAAAGTAGTGAGAGGACACGTACCATGTCATGTAGACATGGTACATGTCTTTCTCACTACTCAAAATATAAACAGACATGTTTAAGTTAAAATATAGTATAATTAAGTTCAATCTGATCAGAATATATTAAATAAAAATGATTTGTACATACAAAGTAATTTTAGTTCAATTGTAGAATCACTGAATGGTAATTAAGTTTAAAATTAAAATTTCTGGCAGCTGATTAAAATCTAATTTGTACTGATGTCATAATATATGCAAATTGTCAAGCAGAGTGAAGAGCAAATAATGCAACAAGGCTGCATTAAATTGCAAAAAATTGGAATGTGCAACAAGGCTGCACATTCCAATTTTTTGAGACCAGGAACATCCAAAAATAAAAGGTGTGCATTAGAACTGATAAAACATGGTGTACTGTAACATATCCAAATCATACAACAATTATGTTGTATGATGAAAAATTACTAATCCTGTTCACAACATAATTGTTGTGAACTGGATTAAATGTACTAATTGTTAATCATACTAAATGGCTCCTCCACTGATTAATTGCCAAGTAAAGATTATTTATCAATTATTCCAATTATTGGAGAATTAATCATTTCATTGGAAAAATAATTTATTCATTTTAAATTTAAAGAGTAACAATAACATTAAAAAATGAATGTTTAAAGAAACAATAACTTTATTAATAATGATAAGTCAGGATAATCATGGCAATACATCCAATTCCATTAGAAACCATTAGCTTATTGTATCTGTGTTTTCAGTCTGAAACTTTTATTTAAACTGAAAATGTTCTATTACAGTACTAATCAATTTTTAGAAATTTATTTTAACCACTTGAAAATCATCTCATCCTTAATTTTTATCTAAATTTTAACTTAGAATTTTTTCTTTTTTAAGAACAGAATGCAACTTTAATGTCTTCTGTTAGAAATTTTATTTTACAAAATTTCTAATAATAATTACTAATTCATTTTATTCTTTGTTAACTTTAAGTAAAAAATTACAATGTAGTTTTTAAAAGCATTTTTTTTAAATGTATTTATATACATAATATATTATTATTACATATAATTGTATTAAGTNTTTGAAACTTCTCAAAACCCAAGGCTGTTATAGCAGCCAAATATATAGTCAGTGACTAAAAACAGTAACTCACTCAGTGGCATGAAATGTTTGAGTAGAAGCAGACTTTGAAGTAGTTGAAATATATATTATCATAGAAATTTGAAATCTCAAAAGTTTAATCCTTGATAACTCACAGAACCCCATGTTCAAGTGGATGATTTTAAGTACCACCAGCTTAATATTGAAGATATTTATTATTAATTTGCTTTGAATCAGACTAAACCCAAATTCAAGTGCTTAGCAGTCAAATTTTATCCATACCTAATGTACAATCATTTGTCTTCTATAATCTTTCAAACACTTGAATTTGGGTTTAGTCTACTTAATATGGAGTTATTTTAATTTGCATTATTTTAAAAAAATTACAACAATTTTCATTTGTCTTAGATTGATTATTCTTTAAATTATTTAAAAATATATATAAAACTGTTATTATTTACACAAAGAATTGTTAATTGCAACATAAGATTTGACTGTTGAAGGTAATTAAGGAAGGAACACTAGTAAATTATAATCATAGATATACATATACCAGTGTATTATTTTATTACTACTTCGTATTCATATAATGAGTGATTTTATTAATAACATTTAAAATATAAATTTTATTGCATACACACAAAAAATGTTACAGATATAGGAAATATTTTGTTTTAGATGAGAACAAATCTGTATCTGTTCCCAAACTAAAGTTAGAGAGTTCTTTTTGATAACTATGTTACAATAATTTATGAAATGGAATCTTACTCCCCCTCAAATGAGAATGAAACCTAGCATCTGAAGTAACAGCAGCCCTCGGACACTAAAAGATTGCATACCATCTTATTAGTGTCGGCATTCTCTTTCAACTGCACTATTTTATTTTCATATTAAAAAAAAATCTGCTTTTGCTTGAACATTTCATACTACTGAGCAAATTAGTGAATCTGTGACTAAGGACAGTGTAACTTAAACATGTGATACACTATTAAAAAAGTATGTTGGTATCACATGTTATTACTTAATTATATACATAAATATATTTTAAGAAATGCATTTAGAAACTATATTGCAATTTTTCATTCACAATGCACAAAGAAAATTATCAATTATTAACTCATTTGTTTTCTGTTCTTTTATTCCAATGCCTAGAAATCTTTTTGGTTGGCATATTAAAGAATTAGACAAATAACATAAAATTGGCTAATAAATTTCTTTATTATAAATTGTTTTTGAGAATATTGTCTTCTATTATTTGCACCCTAAGAATATATTAATACATAAATAGAATAACAACATCATCATAAAATTATTATCTATTAGTTTATGGACTTCATATTGGAATAAATGAAAGAGTAAAGTTATAAGAAAAGCACACTTTTAGTATAATATTAGCACTATAAGCATATATAATATCATATGCTGAGTATTAAATTATGATATTAAAAAATTTTTAAGAATTGAATATAGTTATTTTATATTAGTTTCTCATATTTATGCACTTGGAAATATCTGGAAACAAGTCAGAAATTTTAAAAGTGTATTATTTGCATTAAATCTTTTGCTTTTTCTGTAGCTAAGGAGACCATAGGCAAAGTAACTGTGAAGCACGTGTATGAAATAGCAAAAATTAAAAGCAAAGATTCTATCTACGATTGTGTGCCATTGGAAAAGATTTGCAAGGACGTTATTAGAAGCGCACATACGATTGGAATTCAAGTAGTTCATCATTTAGACCCCAAAGAATATGGTGAATTCTTAAAAGAAAAACAAGAATTTGTGGCAGAACAGTTACGCGAAATAGAAGAAAAGAGGCAAGCAAAATTACTTAGAACTGCGTAATTATCTTCTATAATTACACTATTGCAATTAATATAAATGTAGTAAATTTGGTTATAGTAAAATGCAAACTTTAAAATAAGTTGTATAGAATTTAAATAAATGTATTTTTAAAATTTTTTTCGGCGTAAAACTGATTTCTTAATTAAATTTAAGTCCTTTTTTCAGTCATTAATATATAAAGGTGTCCTGAATCCAAAAATGTAAAAATCTGGGGGGATCATTTTTTGACCGATCGCCATACTTTCCCTCTAATAGCTGAGGCAATAAAGATAATCAGCAGATCCAAAACATAAAGGATTTTGCTTGAGAAACTTGTACCCAGAGAACTCCAAATTGTTGTGACAAATTACAATTTTTAGTTTTCAAGTAGTAAAGTAGATGAAATTTTAATAAACTGTCACAAAACATTTGTGTCCTTAAGACAAATATAGAGCCATCACAAACCCTATCTGCAAGTAATCATTCTGTATGGACTTGTACGTCTAATGATAGCAAAGTTATTTATCTAGCTGGATATAACCATTCTCTTAAATTTTCATCACGTGTAAATAAATGTAACTGGAACGATTGAATACATGTACAATCTCGATGCATCGTGATTTCGTGTATATTGCATACAGTTTCAAATCAATCACTTTTTATAAGTGGTTTGAAACTTCTCAAAACCCAAGGCTGTTATAGCAGCCAACCACTACATAATATCTACCTGAATTGGTTTTATAAGGCATATTGCTAATGAAAAACTAAAAATTGCAGACACTAACAACTAGCAGTATCTTAATGGCTGCCAAAACATGTCCACATGTGGCAGAATTCAGAAACACATTCTGGAAACTTGTGGATATCATCCAAATATTACAGTTCACTCTATATTGTCTCTAAACTAAAGGCCGTATAAAGTACATTTATGGAATTAGCCAGTAACAGCAACTTTACGACTAACGTGAATTGGCAAATTTTCTCATTATTTTAGAAAAGATTGACAAAGCTCTAATTGAAGTGAAACTTGTAGTGGAAGCGAGGCTTACGTAGCACCCTAAATAATAAAGGAAAAATTTATAATTGATAATTTCTAATGTATGGAGTTCGGAAGTGTGTCTGTAACTTACATCATCGCGAATAACGGCATGTCTTTTGACGACAACGGTACCAGGACAATGTTGAAGAGTCAAATACATTGTAAATGGCAATTTCGTCAAAATGTCAGGCTGAATCACGGTGTTACATAAGATATTTTCATACCTCAAGTCGATCGTAGACCTTGATTGGCAAGAATCGTTCATAGTCCTTGGGTTTTCGGATACGAAAACTATTTAAATATTCTATTTGTAGATAAATAAGTAAAATCGCCTTCAGCCATCGTACAGCATGACAATACTAACAATTTATCTTGTATTGTACAGACTACTAAGCAGTTAGTAACTGGTCTGTCTATGGAAAGAATCAACTTGGGTATTAACCAATGAGCATTAGCCATTGATTGCTTGGTTGTGGCAAGTTACTTCTTCATTTGTTAAACATGTCACTGCCAGTGCCGTAACTAGCCATGTGCAACAGGTGCACCCGCACAGGGCCCGCTTGAAAGAGGGGCCCAAAATGCATGTATTTGTTTTATTACTTTCCCAAACCTAATTAATTAAGGGGCCTAAATACAAATTCCTGCACGGGGCACAGGAATGGCTAGTTACGGCACTGGTCACTGCCATTAGAAATAGTACGATGGAAGCTTCACATTACGGTATTGGAATGTGAGGAAGTTCGCTGTAGTTGTAGTAGTAGTAGTAGTAGTAGTAGTAGTAGTAGTAGTAGTAGTAGTAGTAGTAGTTAAGTGCATGATTCTTTACAGTTAATGAATGCTATTAAAAAATTAACATAATTAATTAATTAACAAAAAAGTCGTCGTTCTACCATCTAGTGAGACATATTGCCTGAAATATTAAGCGAAAAGTGCTGACATCATTAGGGAATGTGCCAAATTATTGGTTTAACTGAAGTGACATCACGTGTGACATTGCTCTGGAGTCGATTCTTTCCATAGACAGACTGTAATACTGAATATTCGAAAACAAGTTGATTAACATAGTGATAATTACCGAGACTGAAGTCAACGAGTAGTGTTAAAATTCCTGGAAAAGCCATGTCACAAATGGACTTGGTCTGCGTATTAGTGCTCTCTGAGCGGCCCTATAATGCAGTACATCTGCAATTCGTTAGTTGCTTTCGATCTCCTTTCTCTTGGGTACAGTCTTCGGCAGTGGCGGCCTTAGGGGGTGGCGAGCAGGGCAATCGCCCGGGGCCTCGCGCAACAACCAAGTAGAAAAAAGTTGATATTTAAAACTTTTTATTTTATCCTTGGCTATTAGTTATAACAATAAAATAAATTTAATTTATAGTACAGTATATATTAATATTAATAAGTGCCTACTATTTCAATTCACATACTTTCCACAAAGGACAAGGGCCTCGCAAAGATCTGCCGCCCAGAGCCTCGCAATGGATAAGGCCGCCGCTGGTCTTCGGCAGTTGTTTGTCGAAGTTTCATAAAGTAAAAATTACAGGAATTCTATTACCGCGGAAGGGACAAATAAGGAACGTTAAACTGAAAGTTCATTATAACGAGATTTCACTGTATATCAAAAATAATAATATGAAGAATTTTTGAAACTTGCATCCTTTCTACAGCATTTTTCTTTTAAGGATCCTCAGCTTGCAAGTTTCAGATATCTCACAATTTACACATTTCATGCCTTATTAACTTTTGCTATTGAGGATATTTAAAAAATTAATAGAAATTAAAATGTAATTCGGTAAATTTCGATTACATGTATGACATTTTAATAATATGACAGGCTTAAATTTTAATTATTAAAAATAAGGGATGGGAAAAGAATCACATTTCGAACTACTATTATAATCAGTTCAAACCTCGGAGAACTATTTAGCCGAATCTTTGAATTATCTTTCAAATAAATGAAATGAATTATAGAAAAAAATCATAATTTTTTAAATTAATAATCTTACATACAATTAATTACATACAAAATATTAAAATGCCATAAAAACTAGAAAAATTGTAAGGTCTTGCGATATACACTCAGAAATGCAAACATGTTTTTCACTAGATCATATCAGATAAATAGACGTAACGTAATAGAATTTTGTGCCGGCAATTACAAAGACTATCGTTTAAAATCAACATTTCATTAACAAATTACAGATTACGGCGAAGTTCATAAAAACAGTTGTCGCTTGTTACAACAGATAAGATAAATACTAATAGTCAATAGCGGATCCATAAATCTTTAGAGAGGGGTGTGGAAAGGAAACAATATTCCTTACAAAATGTTTTACTATCCGAGGTACTCGGCTTTATACGGATAAAACTCCAGAATGGGGAACAGTGCACCCTCTAAATCCAACTCTGATAATATTTAAGTAAACACTATACTGATAATGGACGGATTTACTTATACTGTTATACTGTGGTCTCTAACTTGTAAGCCAAAAACACTAAGAACTCAAAAACTATTGTAAAATATAATAAATAAACAAATAAATAATAATTGTCATTCGAGGCCCTTAAGCCATAGCTTGTACTGTACGTAAATCCGACATTGGATTTGATACAGATTTCCACTTGACTCAATGAAACAATTGAAGCTGCACGAGCTACACCAAATCATATTGCTTATTTAAGTAGAAGCCGCCATATTTTAAATGATGATAGATAAAAGTTTCCCAACAATAGTAACAATGTATTTAATGTGTTTCCATTTAACAAAAGAAATTTACTGTTTTTTTTTATTAGAAAATTGATATTAAATTCCTTTATAAATAATTAAATATACAGTATATACAGCATTTCCTCGAATAAACCTCGGGGAATAAAGGCGCTGTTAATAATAAAAATTCTAACAATGAGTTGCTTAACTTTTCCGGCGACATTTGATGGCGCCATCTGTTATGATATTTTATTTTAAACTTTTTATATTTTTTACTATTATAAAATGGCAAAAAAATTAATTTTGATGGCAGGGATGGTTTTATAAAAAAATTTAAATGCTAATAACGAGTAAAATCTTCATTAAGTCCGACCCTACTGGAGATACACACGAGTCCCTTTATCTCCCCACCCCTCGATCTTTAACCACCAAAATTTAATAGTATCGATCCCCTAAAATACAAATCTCCCGGAAAAGTTTCAGAAATTTTCGGCAAAAAGCACAGGAGTTATTAAGTTTCAAACAGGGTGAAAAAAATCGAGCCCCCCACACACTGACATTGATATTACTGATTAGTGTGTGTCACTAATCAGTAATATCAATTGGACGTAAATATTGGTTGTGTAAATGCATTGTAGTGATGTAAGTGTACTGTAGTTTAGTGATGAGTAGGGCCACGCCCACCATATACAATCTCGAAAAAATACCCAAAAATATATAATTTAATCAGTAATATCATTTGTAAACGATATTTTAGATGTACGGTATATGTCTAAATGCATTGTGATGGCATATGAATGAAGAGGGGGGAAAATCTCCAACATTTCAAAAAAATTATTTTCCCTAATCAGATGTATTTGAGGTTTAATGATAAGTTAATTGTTTTTGTTTTTGTAATGTAATAAGTTTTTGTTTAATGATAAGTTAATTGTTAATTGTAATGATAAGTTAATAGATGTTTATATACAGTATTTTGTTCTATAGTCGGAAAGACCCGAACTGGTATTTCTAGTTTAATTAAGTTTGATTTTTAACGAGCTTTAGTGCGTTTGTTTTCTTAAGTTTTATCTTGCAATATTTTTAAAAATCTCTTTTAATTTTAATAAAAGATATCTAAAAATCCAAATAATAATTATTTGGATTTTTCAATGTATTAGAAATACAAATCTGTAATTGACATTATCATTTTATTATAATTAACAAATATCTTATTCCGATTCAAAGTTCAAAGTTGATAAATTTGCGGACGACTTCAAAATATATTTTCCCAGATTTAAAGTACTGTACTCGTATAATAAATATTAGCGGAGAAGCAAATTATATCTTTTGAGCAAGTCGTGTGTAAATAAACTTTTAAACGC